TTTATCTTCTCTCTTTGACCAGCAGCCAAGCATGAAGAAAGATCAGAAAGAAGCGTCTTCTTAGAATCTACGAGACAATTCACAGAGATTCTTTTTGAAATCCCATCAGAAATCAGAGTCGACCAATATTTTAGTTTGACCTGTTAAATTTTTATCAAATGTGATGTAATATTGATCGTGATTTTTTTGTTTTATAAAAACGAAGTCATTAAAGAACATATATAAAATAAAATAAGAAGGAAAAAATTATGCTACAAATATCTTGTCATGTATCTCCTTGAGGTTTAGATTGAGTTGAACTGGTTGTGAGGCTTGAATGCCATTAAATATCAATGGAGTTGATCATTCACCAAATCAAAAAGAGACTTAAATTCTGATAAATTCAATGCTAGTTAGCAGTACAAGTTAAATAAATGTTTTTTCTTTTAGTTCCACTCTCATAAATATCTTAAAACCAATACTCATGTCAATTAAAATTAATTTTTTTCATTAAATAACATTAAGAATAAATATTCTATATTTATTTGGTGTATTAAAGAAATAAATTATTGTCGGTATCAGTTTTGAAATTAAATTTAAAAAATCAATACAAGATATAAAATTTTTTATCCACCATACACATACCACTAAAAGTCAATTGTCAGTTAATTTTTTTTATTTGAATATCCTATAAAATATTAAAAATATCGCTAATTATATTCCATACGAAAGCAATAAAATTTATCTCTTTTTAATAAATATTATTTTAAAATTTTAATTCTACTAATTTAGAAAATATATTAATTTTTTATCACTAAACCAACAATTTATTGGTATAGCAAGTTAAATTTAATTCAATATTGTTTTTTACACCATCAATTACTTTAGATAACACAACCAAAGTATCCAACAACATTGCGTAAAATTTGATGTGCAGCTAAATTCAGAAGAAATAAAGATTAGCTAGGCCGAGTCAAGCAAGGGTGGAAATGATTTTCTAGACAATTTTATATTTGTTACCGGCATAACAAATGACGTGTTTGAGCTGAAGCTGCTAATCTGGATAAAAGCTAGCGATTTGGTTGTCCTAATAAATTCTGTTGGTTGTGCAAATTAGGTCAAAAATTGAGTAACGAGAATTAAGCTAGCGAGAGAGAGATAAATAAAGACACCATCTTCCTCCATTTCATGATTCCCTCCAAACCTTATAAAATTAAATCCAGGAACCTACCATGAATTTAATTGTATACTTCTGCCGTTGATAGATAGATGTGTACTGCGTGGTGGGGAAATGAAGAATCTGTAAGTATAATTAGGAGCGTTAAACTATAGGGGTTGCGCCATTAAATAAGGGCATGTAATTAATTAACACTAGACGTCGTAGTACGTGCATGCACTCACTGCCAATGCCATGCCTCTTTCTCCAACGTCAGATAGATGTTATTTGGCTGACCATTACAACCTCGTTATTTTTTCTTAATTTCAAGTTACTAGCATGCAACCTAATTACTATAAAACACGAATTGAAAATAAAAAATAAAAAAAACCAATTTTTTTCTATTACATAATGTCATTTGGGTTTCTATAATATAAAACTCTCTCTGTCTTACAAAATTGTTGTTATTTATTTTTTATTTTTTTACAAATATCAACATTTTTTGTTCGTATTTTTTAAAAAATTTATTCAAATTTAAAATAATAAATACATTATTTAAAGTTTTAATTAGACAAGTATTTTAAGACATAAATAAATAAAGTGATTGATAATTTTTTTGTGACATACGAAGTATTATTTTAGCTTTAGATTCAAGTTTAAGGGAAATTACAAGAAAAAAATTCTCATGAATGAACTATTTTAAATCCAACCGTAAATAAATAAATAAATAGTTTCAGCATACAAAAACTAGTTTAGGATGTCATAAACGATCATAAGTATTTCTAAATCAATTTATATATTAATTGAAACCAATTTTCTTTCAAAATATTTTAAGAACACATCCAATACCAATTTAATATATTTTAAAAAATAAATTCTTTATAGTGTAAATCTTAAAAGTTTTACTCAAGAATTTAAAAGAGTTAATAAATGCTCATAGGCTACTCGGGCTATACCTTGAGGTTGTTTTACAACCTTGATAGCAGCCAAGAAAAAAAAAAAAGTTGAAGGAATAAAACTATCCAAATAGAATAAGGGCAAAAAAGTAAATTGATTGAATTATTATCCTTGAAGAAGAATCTCGGACGAATAGCCCTTGAAATAGTTTGAGGTCAGTGTAACCTGTTTGAACAGAGGAAAATAGATAAATAAATAAAGTAAAAATAATTAAAAATGGAAAAAAAACAAAAAAAAAGGCACCGAAAATCTTTGAATAAGATTCGTACTGCGGACTTTGGACTTTTTGGCGCAATGTGTCGCCACCACCACGTCGGCGCGGTATTGCCGTCATCTAACGCCGTATCCCTCGGTTGTTGTGAATCTTACGGTGAAAAAAAAGTACACGTGATTTAAGACACCTTTCAATGCAGGGACTGAATATTTAAATTCTGTCAATTCCGTTTTTCTTTTTCTTACTAATTCATTAGGAGGCTTGAAAATAATTCCACTTAAACCTGAACTCTTCTCCTTATTGGTATTTCAAATAAATTTTTGTGTAAGACTCAAATAAATGTTACACGTGTAGGGAAATGTTGACATAGTTACAGGATGTAAATGTTTTTGTTTTAATGACAAATTTTACTTTTTATTGTGATTTAATAATTTTAAATTTTTATTATCAAATTACGTAATTTGAATATCAAATTATTAATTTTTAGATAAAATTAATTTAATTTTTAGATAAAATTAATTTAATTTTTTTAATTATTTATATATATAATAATCAATTAAGTTGATCATTATTTAAATTATCAAAATAATTTTGTAATTTAAAAATAACATCCATCGATTATGAATATTATTTAAGGACTTATTTGTAGTAATTAATTATGATGGTAATAGCTTATAAAAATAACTAAGTGACCAATCAACAGAGGAGTAAAATTTACTTACTGCTTTGTTTGAGACATGGATGTGGTAAGACAACATGACCATCTCTCCCTCTCTTTTGTTTCTCAAATAAATTCACCGAAATTTTAACCAACCGGTTAAGCAACGTCGTTAAAACGGAAAAAACTGCTATCTTGGTATAAAATCCAACATCTCGACATAAAAAAGAATAAGAGCGAGAAAAAAATAAAATAAACAGCTATCAAAACAAAAGCCTTCCTTAGCTATTAAAAAGCAAAATCACAGAAAACATTTTGGCTTTGTTTTTATTTTTATAGAGAGAGAGAGAGAGAGGAGGAGGAGGAGGAGGAGGAGCTCAAGATCTTGTCAGATCGGACCTGAATTGTAAGAAATCTTATCACATTCTAGCTGTTTAATATGTGTTTGTGTCTTGTGTCTCTGTTTTTGTTTTTGTAAACAAAAAACAATGTAGCTTGATCTAAAAAGGTTGTTCCTTTGATCTTTTCATTGACTGTTTCTTTAAGATTTTTCTCTCACAAAAGGTTTCCTCTTGAACTTCTGCCTTTTGGATTAAAAAATAATGTCTTTCTCAATTTTATTGGATTTTAAGGGGTTTCATTGGTTATTTAGAATGAGAGATCTTAACAATTTTTTTGTCTTTCACATTTTTATGGGGGTTTTCAAGTTACGAGATTCTCTCTGTTTTGGTTTTGATGATTGAAAGTTGGGTCCTTTGCTGGTGCTTTTTGTTCTTCTTCCTCTTGCTGTTTTTGTTCTCTCTTTCCTTTCATTTATATGAGGTGTTCTTTTTGCTTTGCATGCATTTCTTTGGTTTTTGTAGGATTATTGGGATTTTGTGCTCTTAATGATTTTTTTATTCTTGTTATTGAATGAAGTTGGTGGTTGCTGTGGTGTTATTTTGAGTTGTATTTTTATTAATATGGTAATTCATCTCTTTTTAAAGGGTCTTTCCTTATTTATTATGATTTAATTTTATTTTTAAGGCAACATGAGAAATGTTTTTCTTTTCAAAACAAGAAAAATTGGTAACTTGTTTTTTTTTTTTTTTTTTTTTTTCTTTGCCCCTCTGCATCTTTTCGCCCTCTTCAATTGACTTTTTTCTTTTTGTTTCAACACATGCTCGTTTCATTTTTTGTTTCTTGATTTTTACATTATATATGGAGTTGTTTCTGTGTGGAAAAAAATATTTTTTCAGTTTGTAGTGGTTTGATCTTTTTCCTATACAGTTCAATCGCCTGCTAAAATTTTGATGGAAACACAGTGAAATGAATAGGTTCTTGACTTTTTCGAGAAATATAAATTTTTGATTAGTTATCCAATAAGTTAACATTATGTAGATGTGGTGGTTGATGAAACACTTAAGACTGTTAAGACATGAAATTTTGATAAAAATCAAGCTAGTAGGACAACTAACCGATACCTACTAGAGCATACACCAAGAGTGCTGATGTTTTTTAGCTTTACCAAGGAATCTCACTTTTCACATAATTCTTTTTTTGTTTTTAAGAGTGCTCTGCATATTATATCGTGTTCTAAACTGATCGTCTCAATCCTCTTCTACTTATTTTTCAAAAGTTTAGTTGTAAAATAGTGTAGATCTTCTCTTTCCAGCATGAACTTTTTGCTTTTTTGTTTTTCTCAGCATATTCTCTTTCTCAGCATATCTGTTTGACTGTTTAAAGATGCGTTGTTTTTGCAATGAGATTTGCCTGACATTTCTTCAATTTAAACAATGAGATTTGTGTTGCACTATGATATGGATAGAAGTGTTAAGTTGTCTTGGTTGAATTTTACACATTTGGCAGTTTCTATTTTTTCCAAACATGTTGTTCAAAGCAATAAAAAATTTGAAACCTTTTGGCATCACATGCAAATAGTTCTTGCTTTATAGTTTGTTTTGGTTTTATTTGATGGAAGTGGTTTTCTTCTTGAGCTAAAAAAGGTCTTCTTTGTGAAACATCGGGATATTAAGACTTTTTTTTTGTGCAGTTTGATGGGGCGAGAACTTAAACGTACAGACATGGAGAAGAAGCCAAATGGTCTTGCAGTGAAGGTTAATGGTGTATCTCATGATAGAGTACATGTTGCTCCTAAATGTTCAGAAGATGTCATCAAAGCAAACGAATTTGTGGAGAAAGAAACTGCTGAAGAATCAGAGAAGCAAGATGTGCTAGGTGTCAAAAGCACAAATTTTGAGGATGACCTGTCTGATGGGAAAGATGAGAAACCTGGAGCTCAGAAATCAAGTGACTATAAAAATTCAAGTTCTCCCTCTCCAAAAACTGGTGGTGCTGGGAATGCACGTGGTCATCGAACTGTCCCTCAGCCATTTGCTCTGGCAACTGACAAGCGTGTTGGTGGGAACAGTTCCCCAAATTCGAACAATGCACAATCCCCTGTTAGTGTGAAGAATTCACAGGTAACTGGAATTCTCAGCATTGCATTTGGTGGATGTTTTTGTCATACTTCATTACTGGGTGAAACTGATAATAACTGCTATGATGAACTCAAAATCTTTTCCGTGTCAGATAAGCTAACCCTATTGTTTTAAGTGGATGTGGCGGAATTGGGAAATAAACCTGACATGTGGACAAGCTACATTCATGTTTACCTTGTGCAGTAGGCTTAGGGAAAAGGAAAATCTATTGTTTTCTGAAGTAAACTCTTGTGACAGTGTAATGTTTTCTCCAAGCAGAACACAGCTTTATTTTATTCGTTTTTCAAAATTTTGACAACATTTTTCTTTAGGAATGAAGAAATTTTCTTTTCAGATATGTGGAACATATTATGGAGAACCAGTGAGATTTTCTGTTTTTGTTTCAATGCATGTTCCATTTTCTCCCTGTTTTTGCCCAGTGATATTTTGTGGTTGCAACTGCATGCATCGTTACTTGATTGAGTTGGGCTTGTGCACTCCTTGCATAATTTTGTTTAGGTTTTTTACCCAACAAGGGACTTCTCAGTAAGATATCGCTTATATATTTCAAACCTTCACATGCTTGATTGACTTGGATTAGATTCAACTCAGGCAGTATCGCTTACAAATATGACTCAATTCCTTGTTGTACCTTCAAGTTGAGTTGTACTATAAACCATGCAACTTAATTCATTTTGGCATCCAGAAAGCATTATTGACCAACCCTGCCCCAACATACACGCACATGGAAAAACAATTGTTTGTCATATATTTGTATTTGACAATTGCACTGATCTTTGGAATTATGTTATTTCCTTCAGCAAAATTCACCTACAGCAAGGAAGCCATTGCAAGTTGATAACAAAAAGCATCATGATGAAGAAGATAGTTGGTCTGTGGCTTCATCGTATCCTCTGTCTGATTTAAATAACTTGACATTTTTATTGCTTTAAACTGTGTTTTCAGCCTAGAAAATAGAACTGCTTGAAATTTTTGTAATTATATCCAGCTATAGTCTGGCCATATACTTTTACCAATTGGGAATCCTTAGCTATGTGTAGTACTGCTGCATCTGTACGAACTGTTAAATCGGTAACTGTCGGAACAGCCCCCACTTTTAGGTCTGCTGAACGTGCAGCAAAGCGGAGGGAGGTATTTTTTAATATAATTATTATGTAAAACATTCTCCATAATTCGTTTTTTTAATTGATGGATTTGTATTGATCTTGTTACCTTTGTTTTTTCCTCTAGTATTATTCGAAACTGGAAGAAAAACACCGAGCTTTGGAAAAAGAGCGAAGCCAGGCCGAGGAAAGGACCAAGGTAGACTCTTTTCTTTACATGTGTTTGTGTGTGTGAGCCAATGACTCTTTTCTTTACATGAGTTTGTGTGTGTGAGCCAATGATTGAGATGGTTTTGTTCAGTTAATAATCCAATGTACTTCTCTGCTTTCATCTTAGGAAGAGCAAGAAGCAGCCATCAAGCAGCTTAGAAAGAGCATGGCGTATAAAGCAAATCCAGTACCTAATTTCTACTATGAGCCACCTCCACCCAAGTTTGAGCCCAAGAAGGTATTCTGCCAGATCTTATTCTTAGTTCTTTTCTAGTTCTTGTATTTTTACATCTAAATGAAACTAGCAAAAGTCTGTGCATTACTTTTCATAGGTAGATCAGGACAAATAGAGGATACCAGATGCCTTGGTCTTAATTAGCATGGTTGTTAGAATCTTATGATTCACGATTCGAATCTTACGATTGGAATCATTTCTCATTCAAAACAATATGAATTGTGGAATGAATCTTAGATGCACATGAATCTTGTGATTCATTCATGATATGATTTGATTCAGTACGATTCAGTGAATTTTACGAGTCAACTCAAATAGAAAATGAAAGTAAAATGCATAATTTTAAAAAGAGGTGGTAAGAATAGGAAGGTTTAGTCTGGAATTCATGGATGATTACAATGTATAAGCAATTTTCTTTGATATATATATTTCTACCTGAAACTGAAATGAATTATATATTAAATTTTCACAAAGAAAGAAAAGTCTGCAAGAAAGCAAGTTTTAAAGACAACAAGAATGGCAAAGGTGATATTAACATGCAGAAAGATCATATGTTTTATTAAACTAGGAAATCTAGTAGTTTAACTAGTTAGAAGGTAGCTTTAGACATGAAGTCATTGAGTTGTTAGAATCTTCAAGTATCAATGAACAATATGTTGAATTTTGAGACTTGGGGTTATTTAATCTCTAAGAACTAATATATTAAATGAATTGATGCACTTTTTGTTTAGGAATGATCATTTCTCCTTTATTTTAGAAATATTTAGTATGTTATTTATCTCTTACAGTGCCGTTTTCATTTGTTACAGAATCTTATAATTCACAATTCCAAAAATGGGCTTTCTGATTCACGAATTGAATCTCGATTTGACAACCATGTTAATTAGTTCATTAAGAATGCCATTTACCTATTTCCATGAACCAAAGTTTTATCCACTGCATTCAAGCAAGTAATCTATTATTCTCTGAACTGAGTTTTGATTTTGTTGAAGGCTACAGTTGTTTAGACACTCTGGATGGATAAGGAAGGGGAGAAAGGGTGGCTTGTAACTAGCATTTAGTTTGGGGGGCAAAGTTTGAAGTCTAAAAGCTTTCTGATATGGTGTCTCAGGCTTCGTGGTTAGAGGTGGTTAGAGCTGCTAGAAACTAAACATATTTATGATCCTGTTATTTTAAAGCTGGTGTGGTGCACAGTTGCATAAGGCCACTGATATAAATCTACCTACAGCCTTTTCATTTTATGACTATAGTTCAATTCTTGATATAAATCTTGTTATTTTAAAGTTTGAAGTCTAAAAGCTTTCTGATATGGTGTCTCAGGCTTCGTGGTTAGAGGTGGTTAGAGCTGCTAGAAAGTAAACATATTTATGATCTTGTTATTTTAAAGCTGTTGTGGTACACAGTTGCATAAAGCCACTGATATAAATCTACCTACAGCCTTTTCATTTTATGACTATAGTTCAATTCTTGATATAAATCTTGTTATTCTAAAGTTTGAAGTCTAAAAGCTTTCTGATATGGTGCCTCAGGCTTTGTGGTTAGAGGTGGTTAGAGCTGCTAGAAAGTAAACATATTTATGATCTTGTTATTTTAAAGCCGGTGTGGTGCACAGTTGCATAAGGTCACTGATATAAATCTACCTACAGCCTTTTCATTGTATGGCTATAATTCAATTCTTGATTTTTTTTGGTTCAGTTACCATTGACTCGACCACAATCACCAAAACTAAACCGGAGAAAAAGCTGCAGTGATGCGGTTCGAACATCTCAGGAGGAAGTGGGGAAACATTGTGCTCGACATCGTCACAGCATCGGTAACCACAAAGATTCAACTGCTGCCAAAACTGCCAAAGCTAAGTTTCAGGTCAGTCCACAGACTGTTAATGGCATTCGCAAAGTCAAAGACCAATCTAAACAGGAACGCGTTACAACAAAAGCAGTTCCTGAGAAGACTGCTGACCCTACAAATGCAGACATCTCTGTTCACTCATGAACTGCTCTTTCTAACTAACTCTTAAGTGGGAAAACATTGAATTTCCTTAGTTATGATATTGGATGTTTCGAGAGGAGATAGCCTACTTCTTTTCAGCTGCGATGACCTTTTCTTCTTGTGTTTTTTTATCCAAGTGGTTTGTGTCTGTGAATTGTATATGTTTTGTAAGTTATATCAGTACATATCATGTTATATATCGAAAGAGTTACTGATTCTAATATGGACCATATCCTTTGTTCTTATCTGATGTATTGTCACTAAAGAGGCTTTCCGGCCTATGTTATTTTGAAACTCAAGGTACTAGTTCTGGTCTTATCAGTTGTTAGTTGTTTTCCTCATTTCGAAACATTAACTTGTAGAACCTCTACTTCATTCGTAACTGCTATATTAAATTTTGTACAAGGTGCCAGGCTCTTGATGTTTGAATGAAGTTTTTACCTAACTGTTCTCTGTATGTTCTGTTTCTGATGTGCCTTGAAAATTTGAAAGCGGACAGAGCATTCAATGTTTTTCTTGGACTAACTGTTGTTAAATTCGAAAGCAGAGTCAAGATGTAGAATTGATACAATGCTGGAATCTGCTGCAAACAGGTAATATTTTAATATTCATGTTCGACAGATTTGATTGTAATTGCATTACCCCTCAAGATTCTGCGTAGTGCAACAACATGCACACACACCTCCAATAAGGTTGCAGAGTCTTGTCCAAGGAGAGGAACAAAAGGTGAATTTTGGTGAGTCCTGTTAAAAGATTAGATTCCGGGCATCTGCATATACGTTGCGCAGACTTCAGCCACAGCTTTGGGATGTCTCACCTTCCAGATTCCTACGTTAGAAATAGATTCATCTGTGCTGGGATGCCTCGCCTCCTGAATTCCCCCTACGTCAGAAAAAGAATCATCTTCGCAGCGTTAATGGCTTAGTGTGTTGTTTTACGGCAAGATGGAATCCTTGAACTAAATTCATCTCTTCAATCCATTAAAAAGCAAGTCATCTCGCCAGACTAAGAAATTTATCAGAATAATTAACTTTAAACCCCTCGATCATTCTGAAAGGGTGATTTGATCTCTAGCAAATATTAAATTAAACATGGCAGCTTTCTGAAAATTATTAAGGGATAAACACATGGAAATGCCAAGAGGAAAGATAGATAGAAAATATGCCTTCTAAAATTAAGGGAAGAAAGCAACTCTGTCTAAATTCTGTGATTTTAATACAGCTAAAGATAAAACTAATAATTTCTTTTAAATTTCATCAAAGTAATGGTATTCTTTAAAAAAAAAAAAAAAAAAAAAAGGCAGTGGCATTCATCTCAAAATTAGAAATTAATCATTACTAATTGGGTTCAAAAATACAACAACTGATGTATTGCTAGCTGCACTTCCAATAATGCAAGGATCTGAAAAGAAAAAAAGAAAAAAAAAAAAAAAACACCTAGACATGAATGCTAGGCAACTAGCGAAGGTCTTTTATGCAAAAGTTTAAAATTTTAGGATAAGAGACCGTTAATAATCAAATACCAAACGTAAATATATTACATGCTTATGCTTCTTGTTCGGCTTTTGTGGCTTCTCCATCTCCCTCTCCAGTCTCCCCTCCCTCCAAAACCATGACCACTTTGGTTCACTCAATCTCCTCCATTTCCTTTCTCTCTTCTCTCACTCTCCAACCTCTCAAAATCAAAACCCATAAAAGCCCACTCTCAAATTCACCCTCCAAATCCACAAAAACTCTTACTTGCAGTACTTCTAAACCAAACAACAGAAGACCTATGGATAGTCGCAAACCCACTTCCAAGAAAACAAAGAAATATGGTACCTCTAGAAGGTCAATTCTCAAGAAAACATTCATTCAAGAACAGGTTGCTTTCTCTGCACAATTGTCAAGTGATCCTCATGTAGGGATTATTGGAGGTGGCATGGCGGGTCTGCTTTGTGCTTTGAGTTTGGAGGAAAGAGGGGTCAAGTCCACTGTTTTCGACACGGTTGGTCAGTTCTTTCCTTTTTAGCGATTGCTTTTCAGTTTGGCTTTTGTTGTTACTTTCTAGATTTTTTGTACTGTGAATGTACATAAGAATGGTTACATCTTAGAATGTGGACTAATTTTTCAATTTTTTTTTCTGTGAGGTAGATTAATTTATTTGTGAAGGGTTAACAAAGCAACGTTCTTTTACTTAATTGTTTCCTAAATGAATTGAAAAAAAACTATGCTTGTAGTAATCAAATGAGCAGTAGTAAACTTCTTAGTTAAGTTCTGATAGCAGTAGTTTGTTGAAGGTTTCATATTCAGTTTAATTTTATTGCATTTTTGTTGATGCTTTTGCTTTGCAGAAATGAAAATGATGTCCTTCTTATTTTACTCATATTTCAGTTCAGTAGACATTTGGAGTGTATTTTCTGCAGTTAAAAGTAAATGACTACAATATTGGGTTTCTCTAAAGCTATGCTATTTCAGGGGATTCATGGTTTGGGAGGGAGAATGGGAACTAGGATAATCGATCCTCAGCCATTGATATTTGATCATGCGGCTCAGTTCTTTACTGTGAGTGATCCTCGATTTTCTGAGTTGGTTGATGACTGGGTGGAGAAAGGTCTAGTTCGACTATGGCAAGATACAATTGGAGAGCTTGAAGTGGGAGGTCAATTTGTCCCATTTCCTTCTTCACCCCCTAGATATATTGGTGTTAACGGAATGCGCCCTCTTGCTGACTCGATATTATCTCAGGTGATCGGTCATTTTGTTGTTTTCTCGTCAATTTGTTGACTAATCATCTTTTTCTTGCTTTCCAATCAGTTGTCAACTACTCTTGTCAGGAAGTAAAAAGGTGAAATGTTATTGAAGAAATAAAGAAGCAGTCAGCGGCTTAGTTCCTTTATCCTTGTAGTACTACTATGATATCCTCTTTCTCTATCTATGATATCCTCTGGGTAATAGCTAAGCAGATTATTGATTCTTGCTGCAGACTCGCACGGTTAATGTGGTGAGACCTTGCTGGATAAGTAAACTCGAACCATTTAATGGGATGTGGCACTTGAGCGAGAATGGAAAACCTTGTGGACAGTTTGATATCATTGTTATTGCACATAATGGTGAATCTACACCTCTATCATTTCCCTTTGTACTCTTTCATTTACCTATTCTGACCATAAATAAAAAAGTTTCTGCACTTTATTAAATTTCTGATATGTTGTTATTGTGCACTTGGATGACAACCCAATAGGTAGAAGGGGATATCTTTGAAATAGGAGAAAATAAGTACATTTTGATGAGTTATGAATGCTACTGTGTTTTATGCTAAAGGAGATGTGTTATTCTCTGTCGCCAACGCATGAATTCATTGATTTTTCTAATGCATTTCTGTTGCTTGAATTTTTTGAAATGAACATTGATTTTTTTTTCCCCCTATTTAGAGATAGTTCTGGCTTGAATGTCTCCACTTTTGGAAAATTTCTAGCTTTAACAGATGGCAATAAGTGCCTTCTATTCACCCTTCAGTCGCTTCAGAAGTTAGTAAAACTGTGCTAAAACTAATTTTGGTTGGTTATTTTTGGCCCCATTGTCTGTTTCATAATCATGAAGTGTGAGTTTGGTTATGCATTGGCCAGCAACCTGACAATACTTTCTACCTTGGCCCATGTCCCAGATTGGCTTTGTAACAGTTGTCCATGTGGCATAGACATAGCATTTTACAGTTAATAATTCGGGGAGCAAACTGAAAGAAAAGTTTTCTTGAAGTTTATGTGTGAAACAGTATTTGGAGTTAAAATCAGGTTAGACTGGATGCAAAGTATTTGCTGTAAACTATGACATATCCAACAGCGATTGGTTGCATAGTTGCATAAGTATGCATACTGACCTACTGGATTTTGATATTCTTTTAATATGGTAAGTATTTTAAAGAGCCATGCAAATATCTCATGTTTAAACTTACATTTCTTCAGGAAAATTGAAGAAAAAATAGGACAAAATTACATGTAAGCTAATAAGTGACATGAATTGCATCATTCAAAGTCATCTACTTAAGAATATAGAATTAAATAATTAGGAACTGAACTGAAGCCTTATTGGTTAGAACAGGAGAATCAGACTGGCTCTATTAAAGTCGTTTTAGTGAAGAAAGTACGTACAGAATTATTTCCTAAATTGATACTATCAGGCTTAATTATTGAATGTGTTTCACATTTTGCGATCCCTGATGCTGTCTGATAACAGTATGTTCTTGCAGTGTATTTGTTTGGTTATCGATATCAAGTCCATCAGCTTGAATGTTGTTTCCCTTGTATGTAAACACGAGCACACATTGAAGATTTGAAAGCATGCTGTTCTTTACTTCTTCATTGATGGTATTAGGTTTTTGAATCTTCATGAATCTATAAATCTTACCTCCTTGTGGTTCATGAATTGCCAATGACTGTATACCATTTTTAATTGCTTTCTATCGTTCTGTACAAACTCTACCCTTGGCTTTGGGAGTAATAACTTCTTTATCAAATTGACAGGAAAATGTGCAAATCGATTGCTTGCTTCATCAGGCTTGCCTCTAATTGCAAGACAAACGAAGGTATATCTAAATAGCTTTCTTTATTCACTGTAATGTAGCCTATGCTTGTAGCCAATGCCCTATGATTTGCCTTTATTAACTGTAAGTTTTGAAATATTGATCTGTCCTTTCCATTTTTGTAGACGCTAGAATTGAGCTCTATATGGGCCCTCCTTGCAGCATTTGAGGATCCCCTCCCTATCCCAAATGGTGCTACTCCCTTTGAGGGAGCCTTTGTGAAAGGAGTTGATTCTCTCTCATGGATGGGGAACAACTCTGCAAAGCTTTTTGGTTCTAAGACCAACGGTCCTCACTGTTGGACCTTTTTTAGCACTGCAGCTTTTGGAAAGAGGAACAAGGTTCCACAGGTTAGGCTCTTCTACTTTCCTTTCTCCCATCACTCAAGGACAAACAAGGTTCCACAGGTTAGGCTCTTCTACTTTCCTTTCTCCCATTACTCAAGGACAAATGCATGTTACAACACACGATGGAGAGAATTCAAGCATTCATCCTGACCTAAGCCTTTGTGCAATGGTTGAATTCACACAAGCCTGAATTTTAGAAATGTAGCCTTCAGCTTTGGGTATAGACATTCAATAAAATGAAACATGAAGACTGGAGTCATTAACATATTTGAATAGTCTCTCTAATTTTCCACATAAAATTGAATTAATCCATATCTATTTCTCTCGTTGGAGTATTAAGGTTTGCATATGATGCGTAGTTTTTTTCCTGGTTGTTGTAATCCCCACAATGTGTTATTTAGGAAAATATCCCAACTGCAACAGCAGAAAAGGTGAAGACAGGCATGCTTGAGGGTGTTGAAGCTGCACTTGGATTGCCAAAAGACTCACTTCAAAGGCCCTTTTATACTCGTGTCCAGCTATGGTAATATAACTTTCTTGTGGAAACCATGCTTACTAGAAGCTGTGGGGTTTCATTTTTTTTGTTTGTTCATTGAGACACTATTGCAAAGCTAGTTGTAGTTTATTTGCCAAATTGCTCAACTTAGCATTCCTAAAACAGAAGTGTCTTCCCGTTTCAATTTCTATCACAGTTTGATACTAAATGGAGCTCAATTTCTTGCATAAGATGTTATTCTGCTCCTTTTTCTTGTTCATTGTCTTGCTGTTTTGAGCTTAAACTTCTTCATGCCTTTTTATCCCGTTTAACAAATAAATTTGGTTTTTCACAAAAAGAAATGAAATAAGGCTGCTTTATTACAAATTCAGAAAAATTGAGGAATTATTAGTGAAAAGTGGAATAAATCCAGTGTTGGGAAGGCCATCTAGTTGAAGAACTTTGCTTTAATACACAATGAATGACATGTATCTCAGCTGTTGGATGGGGCGGATAAATTTATCAATGCAATGATGATTTTGTTAGGTAAAATCAATCTAGGAATGAATAAACTTGCACAATTGATGAAATTTAGGAGTCAATAACTGATGTTTCCATATTATAACCATTTGAGGTAATTTGAAAACTTCAAGGAGAATTTACAGCTTTCTGGCAAAACAAACTTCAGCCGGTGCCATTTGTGAATAATTTGGCAAAAGTTCACTTCAAATTCAGAATATCATGGAAATGTTGGTCCTTTTTAAGTCGGTTTAAATGATCCTGATCCTGATCCTGTCTCTTCTTCGTTGTGCAGGGGTGCAGCTCTTCCAACTAACACTCCAGGAATCCCATGCATCTTTGATCCTCATGGAAGGGCTGGTATATGTGGTGACTGGCTGTTGGGTTCAAATTTAGAGTCTGCAGCCTTAAGTGGGATGGCTCTTGCTAATCATGTAAGCAACAACAGCACAATCATCCCGTTTGCTCATTGCTAATTATTTGCGTACACGCATATCTCGATACGAAATTGGAATGTTAAATCATTCATCTTAAATTCACAGTTCATAGCCCTGGTTGCATCGGTAGAATAAATTTGTGATTTTGGATGATTAGATTTGAAAATTTTGGAGAGTTTTCAAAAGGATTTGTTACTAAGTGGTAAATGCATGCTTGGGGGGTTGTGATGCAGATCGCAGATTATTTACAGAGTGATGGAGGTCGTCCGGAGGAATTTGCCCTTGGTCTGAACAAGGAATTCCAACCACTAGAAGGGCATGATATTGGACAATTTTCAGGGTTGGAGTCTGCAACAAAAAAAGCAAACCCTATTCAGGCATACCAATTAAGCACTTGAATCCAACGTTGACGATTCTATTGTCAATTTTAGTGAGTAACTATACGTACATCTCTGCAAGTATTTGATTCTCTTCCTACACAATCAGCCCATTCTCATTCTCATTTTCACACTTTTTTTCCTCATTTTTAAATGACAGGCAGCAGACACCAGGAGTTGTACACATAACAGTCCAATAGTAATTTTAGCTCAGGATATAGGATAAGCCCAAATAGCAGATGTAGAAGTAATCAATCAGGTGGCTTGACTCCTTTGGAAGAAACCTAATTTCAAAGCCATTGCAGAAGACCCAATTTTTCTCGGGGATTTTTATTGTACATGTAAAATCACAAACCATTCTTGAATATGACCTATCATTTTTCAGGATAAACACGATCTTTCACTTTATTTAATCTCACGTGATAGCACGTGCCAAGCACGTTTTAGTTAAATTATATTCCTTTGCGTGTACAGTTATCACTAACGTTGCTGTATGCTACAGTACGCAAACAAACGGCGCGCACAATAGACAAAACGCCGTTGGAGGAACACCTTCAGAAAACGATATTTTATAATTACAATGAAGGAAAAAAAGCCAAAATTACAAAAAACAGAATATTTAATTAATTAAAATTAAAAAGTACCTAAAACAGCAATATTCCAGTTACTGTTAACCAACTAACGTCAGTAGCATCCATTATCCATTAAATTTACAATCACTACCCCTATCTACAAACGCTAACAAACAAACACTAGATCAAAATCTTCACTTCTTTGCCTTCTTCGCCGCTCCTTTCTTCACCACCGGCTGTTTAACACTCTTCGGCTTCACCGCTACAGCCTTCTTCTTCCCCGGCGATGTAACTTTCTTCGTCTTCGCCACCTTAGCCGGTTTTGCAACCACCTTCTTTGGCTTAGCAGCCGGCTTCGCTTTCACAGGCGTCTTCACCTTTGGCTTGGCTGCAACCTTGGCTTTTGGCTTCGGCTTCGGCTTCGCAGTGGTTGCTTTCTTTGTTACCTTCGGCTTAGTAGTTTTAGCAGCGGCTAGCGGCTTCTTAGCAGGAGCCGGATGAGAAGACGGGACCTTGAAGGAGTTCTTGACTTTCACAAGCTTATCAGAAGCAACAAGTTTCTTCAATTGAACTGATAAAAGCTTTTTGAAATTTGCAGGCAACTGTTTCTTATGCTTTTCTTCTAGAAACTTCGCTATCGCATACTGGCTTGATCCTGTCCTCTCCTTCAATGTCAGGATCGCATCGCTTATCATCTGAAGAACGAAAAAAAACAAACACAGATAAAAGATTAAGTAATGAATCAAACAAAAACAAAAGTATTGGAGGTGGATTAAGCAGTGATTGACGATTAATTACCACGTGGTAAGAAGGATAAGACCGAGGGGATCTGGATTTCTTGGCTTTGGTGGTTTCAACCATCTTGGAATGAAGACGACGACTCGTGGATTCTGGAGATATGGGAGACAAGACAGAGAAGATTGATTTGTTGTTGCAGATTTGGAGGAGGGAGTTCTTTATATAGAGAGGGAATATGGGTTATGATTGGTGGAGAGGGGGTGACAAGGATTAAGAGATTTTTGAATGTGAATCATTGGATTAGGGGGTTGTTGACGGTTGAGAGTGGATGTTTGGGAAAGGGAAGGATTGGGAGAGGGAGGGGTGGAAATGAGGGGGTTATTGGTGTGTTTTCAAGGTGATTTGAAATGGGCGTAACTTGGCTTGTGGATAATGGATTTTAGTGGGATTTTGATGGGTTTGTAGCTTAGGAGTTAAGGTTTTTAATGAGTGTTTAATGAGATTATTTGGTTGAGGGAATTGGGAGAATTTCAGGTTTGATGGCAAGTTAGTGAAAAATCTAGTTTCTCTTGAGTTTGTTGAGGTTCAAGGAGATTTTAGGAAAATGTTTTGAAGAAAATTTTCATTATTTCACGTTGTATGATTCTATTGTTTCAAAGAAGTTGATTGGTCTAACAATAATGAGATTTAGATGAAAAATGAATAATCAAATGTTGATTGAAATGTGAGCCAAGTTGAACACTCCTAGTAAAGTGTGATAGTTTATGAGAAATGAATATAAAATAACTACCGAGGTTTGATTCATTGTTTGAATAACAAGTATAAAAAAGTTTTAAGATTGTCAAGTGTGCGTTAAAGGCCAAAAAAAATTGCATATTGATACAATAAAAGGATGCAAATTATCCGTAAATATTTGAGTAAGTAACTCCATAGATATATTTGAATGTTTGATGTAGTGTAGCAAAAAGTCTGGACGATAGCATCGATGCATTTTTAACATTTATCGATAATCATTTAATAATAATAAAGTTCTTACCATGTATATTTCTTGACGCATATATCTATAATGTCTATCAAGAACCAAAAGTGTCACTCTTAACTACCGAATAAGAGAAAATAAGTCGGTGTTTAGAATTCAAGATCAAATTGTCAAAAATTTATTACGACTTTCATATGAAACTTGAATTCCACAAAGCACAATTGCATCTATAGAAGTAATACTGCAACCGATGCCCATAAAGGCCTTAGAGTTTATATGAGGAGCATGATATTCAAAATACACCAAACAAGAAGCCAATTTATCGAATTGCCTCAAGCAAAATGGTGTCATCGAGCATCTTCTAAATGTTATATACAAATAAGATATTAGATGCTTGAATTGCAAACAAATTCTTGAAAAATAAGAACCGGAACTAGAGGTAAGCGAGTAGATTATACAACATCCAAAATGTGGATCAGATAAAATCTTACGGGACTTAAGATGGCCAACTTCACAAGACATCCTTCGAGTCATTTATTATAGAAACTTCTACTAAATTCCTTTAATGAAAACTATTTTAAAGTAGGATTACTTATAGAATTTGGGAATTAACCACCAATCCTTTTCTTGAAAAAAACAAGAAAGAGTGAGAGAAATGGAACAATAAGTAGTCAACAAAAAGATTCAATCACATTGACGATATACGGTACAATTGGATAAACATTTATGCTTTTGATATCATTGAGATCATGTTACATCACAATGACAAACATACTTATCAATCATGTATTTGGTGGATGATGGAACTTATACATTGTTTGAAAGGCCGGAAAGTCTATCAATTAATCTTGTATATGCTCAATTTGTCTTTAAAAATTAATTAAGAATTTAATAGTTTTATTATTTACTAATTCATATTATTTTTCTTGATTTTGACATGATGCAAGCTACGCAATAAATGAATTAGAGTGAAGATGGACCTCACTTCGCATAAGACCTCGAATCGTGAGCATGAACGGTGTTATTCGACTGATTCAATGTTCATATCTTGTTTTTAGAATGCATTAAGAAAATTGGATCAAAAGGCTCGAGTATCATTAAATGAAGATCTAATTGCTACTCTCTTTAATTTTTCCTTATAAGTAGAAGTAGTTTAGCCAATTAATTTTTTTTTCAATTTAAATCGACCATCTAAATTTGAATAATATGGCACGAGTCAAGTATCATTCTTTTTCAATATAAATACCGACCTCACAACAATTATAAGGGGATTCCAACTTTTGATCTTTGGTTAAAAAAAAAAAAAAAAAAACTTTTGAATTCTCTCTCTTAGAGCTCTCTCACTCGCCGGACATCATCTTAGACTTCATTTATTGGACCTTGACCGCACATATGTTAACCGCTCGACTAGTGCTTTGTAACATTGTTTGCTCCTCCTCTCAATCTTCTCACTACATGCATCATTTTTACTTGGTTAATTAACCGTTACTTTTACAAATCACAACACTAGTTTGACTAACACCGTCAACCAGTCGTCTATTAATTCTCAAGAACTCTCACACATACATCTTAATCTTTACAATGGGTAAAGAATTAGTTTTCGAAACTACACCACGTATCTCGTCTTGACTTCATTGCAAAACTTGGATTGCGGCATCAAAGTCTCCACTTAGAGTTAGTGCAATTTATTTCTCTATTTATATTTTGTTTCATTATGAAAACGCTCGCATGTTTGGTTCGGTTGTGGCAAGTATAGTTTGTATTTGCGACCTAAACATTATCAAATACTCGTGATACGAATAATTATGTCTTTACTATCATATAAATTTAACAACATTCCTGCGAGCTATTATTATTCATTCTTGTTAAAATATTAATGCCATTTAACATCCAATTCAATTTTCGAGTCTTTCCCATAAATGGATGTTCACATGTTTAAATCTTCATGGTAATTATCAGCGAGTGTCATCAACATTTGCATTCAAGACTTCCTTTTTCACAAAAAGGAAAAGAGATGTTTATAATATTAAACAAAAGAAATTCACTTGAGCATATGAAAAACCTAAAAAAAAAATCACGATCAACATCAAAGGAAATTTAAATTAGGCACCTCAAGTTTGAGAATAATTGTCATTTTTATCTTCTTGTAAAGCCAACTGGTTGACGAGCCAAGAAAAAGTGAGGATGTATATATAAATCATATATAGCTCAATTAGTTGTTACTTATGTATTATGCAGATTGGCATCACTAATGTTATTATCTAATTTTTTACCTCTTATTTATTTTTCTTTTAATTCTTGGTAAAGAAAAAAAAAGATAAGAAATAAAAAGAAAAAAATGAAGTGTGCAATTAAAAATAAGTAGTTAAAATTAATTTTTGAGGGTCTAATTAAAAAAAAAAGTTTGAGAACCAATAAAAACCCAATTGAGGGTACAATTAAAAAGCTTAAAATCCAAAACCTTTAAACAAAGAAAAGAAGGGTACAATTGAAAGGAATTTAGAAGAAAAAGTCCCAATTAATTATAATTTAAGGGTGCCATTAAAATTCAAACAATCAAAATCGTACTTAAATTGATAATTTAGGAGGAATCAAGGACTATGATCAACTTTTATCTAAACAACCCTAAAATCCCTTAAAAATACCTAACCCCTTTAGCCATTTAAGGGAGAATGGATCTCAAAAAAATTAAAGATCCTACAAAACCTAAAAATCATGTCAAATAGTCCTTAAGGAAAGGATCGGACCTATCAACTTCGGGGTTGCTTGTCGGACTCATTAAATTTCTTCTCCCAAATCGACCATTCTCCAACCAATATTGCCTCCGACCACCACTACCAATCAATAGCCCACACCCATATTAACCATTCTCGACTAGTTGGAGAAGGAGAAGACGTCAAATCTAGCCAAAATTAAGGAGAAAAGGTCGACGGGCTAACCCGTTTAACAACTTGGCCAAATCACCTAATTCGGCCAAACCACCAACTACCATCACAAAACTATCCCTCATCCTTTCAAAAGGTGTTTCCCTTAAAAATTATAACCCAACATCATTGAAAAATAGCCAAATCAAAGTAAACTTTAATCCCAACTCGTTTGTGAAGATTATCGATCAATCAAAATAAAATCGAACCTCCCAACCACTAGGGGAAAGGTCCTCAATGTCCTCCGAGCGACTTAGTATCCTTCCCTTACCTCACCGTAGCTAGAAACATTATCGAAGAAGAAACCCAAAAGTTTCGGATTAGATGGCAACCGATCTCCCTCCTCTTGACGTCGTGGTTAGCATCGCTTGTACCAATCAATAGAGGAGCTCCAGTCGACCTTCCCCGACCATCCATACACCTAAAAGTCCAAATGGTCTAAATTATCATATTTAATAAATAATAAATATTTATTTGAATAAGACTAAAGCACTAAAGAAAACAACATAATAAAACATCAAAATTTAAATACAAGTTCATCAATCCATATCTAAATATATATGATGATAAAAAATTATTAACTATTCAAACATGTTTGCAAACCAAACTACTAAAGTTCAAATAATAATAAAATATTCAAATATGTTTTAAAAAATTTTATATAATTCGATTTTTTGATAAAAAAACCAAATTAAAAATTTTAAAAACCAAATGAATAACCGAATTAATTCGATTTTAGGTTTTTAACTAAATAGAATTAAAAACCAAACCGAATTGGTATTTTGATTTCGATTCGGTTAAGTTAATCAACTTTAATAGAACACTACTCACCTCTATCTTCAACATCTAAAATCACACACATGTCCCTTTATCATTTCTTATTTATACTTCATTCATTGCAAAATATATTTTATATTATATCATAATTGACCTCGTAGTTCGACTAGAGATCCATTGACTAAACCAGTTATCCCGTAATTCATTAGCTTAGTCGGATCAAATTTAATTAATAACATTACTATAGATCCGGTCGTTTGAGTCCTGTGCCATGGATGCATTGTATTTGGTTTAATGATAAATTTTGTCTTCATTTTATTGCGATTTGACAATTTTGGATTCATGATACCAAATTGCGTAATTTGAAACCTAAAGTATTGGAGATTGGACAAATATGTTTTAAATTGTCCAATCTCTCGTTATGTGTAACGATCAACTAGGTT